TCAAAGGAAAGCACTGCAGGGGTGGATAATACAACTTGTGCCAATTAACATATCCTACAAATGCAAAGGCCTGTTTTGCTTATTAGTGAACTTGCTGACATACTGCAGGTGCTGTTGTCCAAATTCCAAGATCCATCTTCAGGCTGGTGCCCATGCAAAGGTGAGGGAAGATGAGGGGGGAAGCAAATTATCCTGGCTTACTGTGACAATGAGGTAAAACATGCTTGGGACTCTACATATTCAGATGGGAGGAAGGGAACTATTCTGGTTACCTTAACAAAGTCTTCTCACACCCTACAACAGGGTCTTCAAATTATAATCTTGGTCAGTGTATACCAGCACTGCAAGAAAACTGTCCTTTTTGTTTCTCTGATACTGAATCTGCTCCTCATTAAGTAAATCTGTCTGGACAGCACCGGTGAAAGCTAGTATCTGACAACTGCCAACTACACCAGCTGGTCACTGCCTCAGCTAGAGATCACTTGAGTTCACAGGAACCACAAGCTGCCCCACTGCATAAGGAGTTAGGGGAAAAATATTGAGTCAAACCCTAACTATTGTACAACAAAGGGACTGATCCCTCCTTACATACCAGACACACCCTGTAGTCTACATCTGCTGTAGGAATGGCATTATTAATTTTAAAGTAAGATTTCCTGTAGTCACTTCTGTACTGTTAAACCATATGTTCTACTGCAGAGTTGTAACTAGAAAGCTAAAGGAGAAGAGTAGTACATTAAGAGGTGAGTAATGCTTTTAAGCTTTTTAAGCATCCCTCCCTCAACTCTGGATTGATTTGTATATACATATCTGATTTAGCTGATACCTCAACTAAAATAATAGTTAAAATTATTCTCCTAGTCTCAAATAATTGAATTCATTCCCATCCCCCAAAGGTTACTTTTCGTTACTGAAGTAAAACCATAACCATATTTTTAAATACAGTTATTCAGATTAGGAATTATTAACTAAAAACAATTCTTAAAATATGTAACTACAGATATTTTTCCTGAAGAACATGTCAAAGTGTTAAGTCTATCCAAAATATGGTTCTGAGCAAACTCTGCTGGTATTATATAATTTTATTTAGAGTAACAGATTTGATCCTATGAAAAGCGTGTGCATTCTTTCTGAGCCTCCGAATTCTTCATAACCTAAAATATTAACAACTTCCAGAATGCAAAGTGCACTAAAAGAACAAGAAGTGAAGTCATCATTGGAGGAACTCATTGCTTTCAAAGTGGATCAGGCAATTTCTGAATGAATCAAGATTGTTCTCTGTGAAGGCTTTTGTAATTGGTCTGTGAGAATACCTTCAAGTAGTGTGTAACATTTCATTTCACAGAAGTTCACAGCCTCCACTGTTTTTGACTTTGATGATATCTTGCAGGTCACTGCGGAAATATCACAGTGCAGTCAAATAATCTGATGAATGGGGGACACTAAAAATGGGAATTGCATTCATTAGTTCTTGTTAGCACCAGCAGATCTTCAGAAAGACTACTGTTTTTTAGGATCTTACTTACAGTCTCAGTCCATGGTGAGGCAGAAGACAGCTCAGCTCTATAAATACAATTCTTTATTTGTATACAAATTCTTTATTTCTGTTTCTTTCCCATGGCATAATGAAAGCAAGGCAGGTCATAGGCACATGAACTGAAATCTGAACTTACCAAAAATTTGCTTTAGCTTGTTCTAAAAGAGCTTTCTCCGACCTTGTTTTTATTAATTTTTATATTTGAGTTTTGTTTAATCTATTCTTCCCTTGTTTGAACAGGGGAGTGGGAGCACAGGGGAGTGGGAGCACAGGGGAATGTGAAACTCGAGGGCAGCCTTGGCTGCAGTGACCATGAGATAGTGGAGTTCAAGATCCTTGCAGCAGTGAGGAGAGTGCACAGCAAGCTTGCTACCCTGGACTTCAAGAGAGCAGACTTTGGCCTCTTCAGGGATCTGCTTGGTAGAGACCATGGGATAAAACCCTGGAGGGAAGAGGGGCCCAAGAAAGCTTGTTAATATTCAAGGGTCCTCCAAGCTCAAGAACAATGCATCCCAACAAAGAGGAAGTCGAGCAAAAACACCAGGAGGTCTGCATGGGTGAACAAGATGCTCCTGGACAAATTCAAACACAAAAAGGAAGCCTACAGAAGGTGGAAGCAAGGACAAGTAGCCTGGGAGGTATACAGAGAAATTGTCCAAGCAGCCAGGGATCAGGTTAGGAAAGCTGAAGTCCTGAGAGAATTAAATCTAGCCAGGGACATAAAGGGCAACAGGAAAAGCTTCTATAGGTATGTTGGTGATAAAAGGAAGACTAGGGAAAATGTGGGCCCTCTCCTGAAGGAAGTGGGAGACCTGGTTACCTGGGACATGGAGAAGGCTGAGGTACTCAATGACTTTTTTGCCTCAAGTCTTCACCGGCAAGTGCTCCAGCCACATCACCTAAGTCACAGAAGGCAAAGGCAGGGACTGGGAGAGTGAAGAACCACTCACTGTAGGAGAAGATCAGGTTCAAGACCATCTAAGGATCCTGAAGGTGCACAAGTCCATAGGACCTGATGAGATGCATCTGCTGGTCCTGAGGGAACATCATATTTGAGAAGTTGTGGCAGTCCGGTGAAGTTCCTACTGACTGGAAAAGGGGAAACATAACCCCCATTTTTAAAAAAAGGGGAAAAAAGGAAGACCCAGGGAACTACAGGCCAGTTAGTCTCACCTCTGTGCCCGGCAAGATCATGGAGCAGATCCTCTGGAAACTATGCTAAGGCACATGAAAAATAAGGAGGTGACTGGTGACAGCCAACATGGCTTCATTAAGGGCAAATCACGCCTGACAAATTTGGTGGCCTTTTATGACGGTGTCACACCGTTCGTGGATAAGGAAGATCAATTGATGTCATCTGCCTGGACTTTTGCAAAGCATTTGACACTGTCCCACACAACATACTTATCTCAAAATCAGAGAGATATGGATCTGATGGATAGTCCACTCGGTGGATATGGAATTGGCTGGATGGTCGCACTCAAAGGGTTGCGGTCAAAGGCTCAATGTCCAAGTGGAGAGCAGTGACGAGTGGCATTCCTCAGGGGTTGGTATTGGGACTGGCGCTGTTCAACATCTTTGTCAGAGACATGGACACTGGGATTGAGTACACCCTCAGCAAGTTTGCTGATGACATCAAGCTGTGTGGTGCATTCAACATGCTGGAGGGAAGGGATGCCATCCAGCAGGACCCTGACAGGCTAGAAAAGTGGGCCTGTGCGAACCTCATGAAGTTCAACAAGGCCAAGTGCAAGGTCCTGCACATGGGTTGGGGCAATCCCAAGCACAACTACAGGCTGGGCAGAGAATGGATTGAGAGCAGCCTGCAGAGAAGGACTTGGGGGTGTTGGTTGACGAGAAGCTCAACATGACCCAACAATGTGTGCTTGCAGCCCAGAAAGCCAACTGTATCCTGGGCTGCATCAAAGAAGCATGACCAGCAGGTCGAGCGATGTAATTCTTCTTCTCTACTCTGCTCTTGTGAGACCCCACTTGGAGTACTGTGTCCAGCTCTGGGACCCCCAGCACAAGAAGGACATGGACCTGTCGGAGCGAGTCCAGAAGAGGGCCACAAAGATGATCAGAGGGCTGGAGCACCTTTTCTATGAAGACAGGCTGAGAGAGTTAGGGTTGTTCAGCCTGGAGAAGAGAAGGCTCCAAGACAACCTTATAGCAGCTTTCCAGTACCTAAAGAGGGCCTATAAGAAAGCCAGAGAGGGACTTTTTACAAGGGCATGTAGTGAAAGGACAAGGGGTAATGACTTTAAACTGAAAGAGGGTACATTTAGATTAGAGGTAAGGAAATTCTTTACTGTGAGGGTGGTGAGACACTGGAACAGGTTGCCCAGAGAAGTTGTGGATGCCGCATCCCTGGAAGTGTTTAAGGCCAGGTTGGATGGGGCTTTGAGCAGCCTGGTCTAGTGGAAGGTGCCCCTGCCAATGGCAGGAGGTTTGGAACTAGATGATCTTAAAGGTCCCTTCCAACCCAAACCATTCTATGATTCTGTGATCCATTCTATGAACAGTACATTAGGTTTTATAACATGAGGACACCAGACTACTGAAACAAGTGAAAATAATTTTAATTTATAATTTCAGTTTCTGTGAACGTTTAAGAGAAAATATCTTGGAAATTCTTGGGAAAAACACATAGTTAAAAGATAACATATTTAGTTGAAAGAATAGAAAGGCCACAGTTAAACACAGGCATGCCACACTTCTGTAAAGAATAAACACAAATCTCCCAAACCCAAGCCTCCTCCCAGTGAGAAGGAAACTTGACGCTCCTTTTCCTTCCAAAAGGGCATGTACCAGCTGTCTGCAACCACTGTCCTTTCTGGGAAACCTTCCAAGAAAAATTTAATCATATTGTAATAGTGACAGTAAACCATGGTCATAAGCAGATGAAACTACAGCATGCACCTTGCTAGTCAGTGACTTCACTATAAACTCTAGCAGCTGTTAGGAGCAGCTGCCTACCCATTGCTCACTCTCTTTGAGCTCTCTGATTTTACCAAAAGGGATACTAGTATACTCAAGAGTTGAAATGTTTCATCTTCATATTAACTATCAAGCATTCTCACTTCACTGTAACATTTGCACTTACCAGCAAGCACTTAAGTCTACCTAAATGCATGCAGATGATGTATTTTCAGGTTCTTGGTCTTTCTGAGAAAGCGAGTTCATGATGGCCTCATACACGCTGTTAGTGAGTGATAGCCAAGTGCTAAGTAATCCATCCATATGCAGTCTCCTTATAATTTAACAGTTCTGGAGTAAAGGAAGTTTCTGCAAATCCTTATTATGACTTTTATAATTGATTTAGTCTAGATAAAGGATTTTAGTCTAGTATTTATATAACAGGAGTCTGGAAAAAAGTACAGGAGATTCTTTTATTTAAGGATGACTATGATTAACTGAAAGCAAAGAAGGATTTTACAAAACAAGTTTTAGGATATTTTACCTGCTTTTTAATTCCATAATCATCACATGCTTCAGCTTTCATTTTTTCAATCTTTTCTTCTTGCTGTTTTGCTTCTTTTTCATACATAACTTTTTCTTTTGCCAATCTGCAATTAAACCAAGCGATCATGTTAATCTGGTTCTATTACAGTAAAAAGTTACACCACTGATAACACCCCCCCTCTGAAAGCTGCAGCCCTATAAGAAAAGACACAGTTTCATAAAAAAAGGCTCTTAACCACTGCAAAAAACTGCATCTAGGAAATCCTGAATTTAGCTATAATGTATAATAATTCTTATGAGAATAATTTAAATTAAAAATATTTTTAAAGATTCTCTGTGGGCTTATCCATATGGAATATCCTAAAAAACCTATATATTGGTACCTCATTTCAAATACATAACAGAAACAGATAAGCTGCCTTGTAGATCTGGATGACTGCTAACAAAGACAGTAGTACAGAGAAGAAAGCGATCTACCTCCAAAAAGTCCTCACATCATAGGTAGCCAAAACAAAAAATATTAAGATGTCTACAAAGACAACATTGTTATAATATGCTGTTAGATCAGCATTCACCAGACTTTCTCAACATCATCCAGGTTCTGATAGTTTTGCAAGGGACCTGTATTGGCTGCTATAGTCATATGGTCTTTCCTCTTTCCTATTCACTACTAAATAACGCCACTGCACCTATGTTATTAGATGAATAGTAGTAACTTTGAAAAAAGTTATCACATGTAAATGAAAAGAAACAGCACTTTCAGGTTCACAAATTGTGATCCCAGAACATCTTTTTCCCGATCACTACATTGTTTCCCATACTAGTTTTTGTACAAAATAATGAAAAGTAAAATTCCCAAATTACGCAGTAGCCTCATAGTCTTGTGTTCCTTTAAGTACCTTCTCTATTTACCTTGATGTTCGTTTGAGGGTTATAGACAAAAGTAACAGTTCCATAATTTACATTATAGCAAATTTCTTTGTGGCCTATCTTTCAAAGGGAAAAGAATCCATCTTTTAATCATAACAATGGATCCATACTTGGGAGCAGGATGCTTTTTGCTAATGAGCATAGAATCAAGAGAAATGTAAAAAATTTTGAAGGTCAGAGAGAATAGTAAGGTAGTCTAGTCTGATGCCCTACAGTAATTTTTATATTTCAATCCCATTATCAAACTTTATTATTTGTTGTTACTGCAATTTTGCTGTTGCATCTCCCACTTTGTTACGTATGTTCATTAGGTATATCTTAGATTGCATAATGCCAGATCTGAACCAAAACATCCTTCAGGATCTGGAGAATAACTAAGTAATTTCTGATCAGCTAATTCAGGACCAAAACAAACACTGAGATGCTACTGCAAACCACAGAGTGTGCCAAAAAAAAAAAAAAATTCCTTCCCCAAACAAGAGTATGCATCAGATCAGCCTATTGTTTAAGGAGAACTTAACAGCCAAAAGAACGTAATCAGATCCAAGAAGCAAAGGCTATATTATACAAATGAAAAGAGCATAAATAAAGGTCTAGTAGAGAGCTTCATGGTCACGTTAGTGCATCAGAGCAAATTAATTCCTGATTTGTCACAGTTAAGTGCCCTACTAGAAATGCTGCTGAAGATGGACAGAATGGTACTGAGGTGACAACAACTTTTTGTGAATTGAAGCTGCTGAAAAGCACCACTGCAGTAATATCTTGAGAAAAATTCCAAAGAGAATATACTGATATTGCAACAGCAGGAACTCTCCCTGCTTTTGTAAGAGTTTATATAATCAAAAATTGTTTTGCTAGAACAGCCTTAAGCTGTGGCTCCACAACAGTTGATCTAAGTTGGGCTGTGGCAGCCCACACCTGAACTCATTTCAACACTCATGGAGTCACACCATCAGAGAGGGCCTTCAGCCTTATAAAGAAGCTTTACCAGTGTGTCGAGCATGTACTGTAGGTATCACCTAGGCCAGTTTCTACAAGTCAGCCAAGTACTAGCTTTGAGAGGTAGCACTGGGGAAAGACAGCAGCCTAATTACTAATAATAAAGACACTAAATCAGTGGCTGTAATTCCAACTACTGGAACTAGCTCCAGTATTAGCATCAGCAAATATTGATTTAATAGAAGATGAGTTAATTGTTTGATCAAGGTTACTTGATTTAATTCCAGACAGTATTATTTGCTTCGCTATTTTTAGGTTCCAAAAAAGTTAATTTTAAGCAACCTGTGAGACAGACAATTTTTTTTTGAATGAGAACAGCAAATTCCCTTGAGGAGCAGGGGGAGAAAGATACGATTAAATGCATTTTTTATGTTGATTCACTTACTGAAGTGTGTATGCCATTGAAACTCAAGGCAACGTGCATTGCTAAACCCAGCATTTTTAATTATTTTAATTTTTAGCTAAAACAAAAGGCACAATGTTTGTCATTACTTATGTTTGCATATTACGTTTTCACATTCACATCTCCTTCTATGCACACTGAGTTTTCAAATGAGCTGTTATTCAAA